TCTAGCCTGGGTGACAGAGTAAGACTCCATTTCAAAAAGAAAGAAAAAAGAAAGAAAGAAATAGATGGAGGTCCATTTGTCAGAAAGTTCTGGAAAGATTCCTGCATTTGACAGAAAGTTGGAGCTTTAAGCCCTTTTCTACACTATGATTCTGTGATTTCCAGATCATTGGCAAGCAGTTCTGGTGCTGTGTCTCTTTCAATCTGTTTACTCTTTTCCTATGTGATCACAGCCCACTTACAACTAGAAGGCTGAGGGATTTGAAAACCACTCATTATACTTAGGCAAACTCTGGAAAAGTGTTTTAACTTGAGATACTTAGTATTTCATTGACTTTCAGGGACAAAATTTGTGGAGAGGAAGAGAGAGAACACACAAAGAGAACAAGTGCTTAAGTGAGCAGAGCTACAGCAGCCTCATGACTGCCATCAATCTTAAAGCGGAAATTGCTGAGGTGCAGTAACAGGCAGAGCATGATGGGGAGGAAAAATCTGGACAAATTTCCTGCATCACTGATGTAGATTTTCACTGGGTGACTTAGTTTGAGGGGTTAAGAATTCAATGGCAGTTACTGATGCTATTCCACCGTACAATATGGAGTACTCTGTTCAACAGTTTACATGCATTATCTCAATTACCCCTCACAGAGATCTAGCATGCAAGTACTGTCCCTCTCCCCTTTTCGCAGATGAGGAGCCTTGGGCTTAGGAGGTAAGGAAACTCGTCTGAATTTCCCTACTGATTAGTGTGCAGATCAAGCACAGGTTTGATGCCAAGGCCAAAGTAACCAAGTTTAGGAACTATATATCTAGAGTGTGAGGCATATACACATACACACACACACACACACACACACACTCCTTACCTATTAGTATATATAATTTGGGTAACCCCAAAAATAAGTCTGTAGAACTAATTTCTGTACAAGAATTATATCAAGTTTAGGTGAATTTTAAAAATCAATCCAAACTTCAAAAACATTTTGTTCCGTTTATGAACTTTGACCTTAAACCATGAGAAAAATCAAGATCAAATGACTCCTATAGTACTACTGTTGCAATCATTGGCCCTCAGATGTCTTCATGGTTTGGGGCAGGCAGAGAAGAGTGTGACTAATACAAGGCATAGGGAGAGACTTTCCCTGTATTGCCAGAGACCGTCTGCTAACAGGGACTTCTGACCCCAAAGCATTGTGCCATTCATTTGGCAATTTATCATTTATTTTCTGGATGTTTCTCTTATTTTTTTGAATTTTACATAAAATATTATATTGTCATCTAATTGTCTTTTCACCCCTCTATAGGCTGGACAATGTTCTATAATTTTGAGGCTCCTAGAGTCCCTAGACAGTCCCTCATATTATTTGACTTTTTTTTTCCTTTGATGTGAAAGAGCAATGCTCAGTGTTCTTTTGACAATTTTTTTGCCATCGGAATTGTCAAAGTAAATACTGTTCTTATGCCATCTGTTTAAAAGTTCTTAGCTTTTCCAAATACAGGCATTATCTAAATTGTAAATGGGCCTTTTCCAAAAGTTATTTTGTATATTGGTTTTTGGAACTCTGTAAAAACAATATACATTTCGGCTATGTTTCCAAATCAAACTACACAAGAGCTATTCAGCCCATTGCTTATGTGAAGTAAGATGATCCCCTAAACTACCACAAAACCAAATGTTCATGTGTAACAGTTGCTGTGGAAAAGTACAGATGTGCAGACGTATGTGTACCGCACCCTCACCCCCAAGACTGCCCACTCTCCCTGCTGTTGTGTGTGCAGGGAGACTCTTCCCTTCACTTCCCTAGGTTTCCAGTTGTGGTTCTGGATCTAAGCCCTACCAGAATAGGCTGTGTGGCAAAGGAGAGTTGAATTCTTGGGTCCCAAATCAATGACAGAGGATTGATGAAATCAGAGGTGACAGAGTCCCATTATGGGGGCCTCCCTAGGACTTCCAAGTGTTGCGATGAGGAGAGCCTGCAAGATGTCATTTGTTTCTTTTTGTCCCTTTCCTTGCTCCTTTGTTGCTGCTGAAAGGAAGGGAAAGCAGAGGATCAGCTGCAGGAGTTTTTTCTTTCTTTTTTTTTTTGGAAGAGTCTCTCACTCCGTTATCCAAGCTGGAGTGCGGTGGCATGATCACATCTCAGTGCAACCTCAATCTCCTGAGCTCAAGCAATTCTTCTGCCTCAGCCTCCTTGTAGTTAAAAAAAAATTTTTTTTTGGAGAGACGGAGTCCCACTATGTTTCCCGGGTTGGTACTGAACTACTGGGCTCAAGCAGTCTTCCCACTCAGTCTCCCAAGGTGCTGGGATTATAGGCTTAAGTCACTGCACATGACAAGGATTCTTACAGTTGTAGCAAGATGGAATTGCCTCCCCTCTCCTTTGGCATTGTTATCCATAATAGAGGGTGATGAGAATCCTGGGAGGGAACTTTGACTAAGTAGTGCCTTAATAGAGGTAGAAGGAAAGAATTTCTTCCTGCAAACCCCTGTACTCTTAATTCCCCCAAACTCCAGACATGCTGTGATGTGACAGGTAGAAGAGGGAGAAATGCATTTCAGGGATTGAATTGGGAATTGGAAATTCTAAACATCTGTATGTTGGTAGCAGCAAGGAGAAATGAAAGAAGACAGGAAGAGAAAATATTAGCAGAAGAGGGGACTAATATGTCAAGAAGAGAGCTATTTAAGACAAACTTTTCCTGTCAAATAGAAGGCAAAACCCAAGCTGACGCCCTCAAATCATAATTACATAAATACCCTTATATTTTCTAAGAAAAAGTATGTTTTAAAACTTAAATGATGAAATCCGGATGTGGAATTTTCTGTGGGTAACTCCACTTTGTGTATGTCAACTTTACAGTCTGTTAAATGTTAAGAGGCCTCAGAGTACAGGGAAGTGGAGGAGAGGCCAGACTGCCCGAGGCTATGCTCCTCTCTGGAGCTCAGATCTAACAGTCTTCTGTTTTATTCACTTCTCTCTCATTATTTTCCTGTCTGCAAGGTATGTAGATGCATGGAAATTGGGTCTGCTTCTGGACCCCCAGGAAGCATGGAAGCAATGATTGCAGGGGTCATGTGGGAAGGGACGGGAGCAGGATTCAAGCAGTCTCCCCACAGTCCTAAAATGAGCCTTCCCTGGGCCATCAGGTGTGTAGCCTGAGGAGGAAGAGACAGTCAGAAAGAAAAAGGGCTGACCCCTGATAGAACTGTCGCCTATTATTTCAAAAATCTGTGATTGGTGAACTCTACCAACCCTCACTAAAATCAACAAATAGACTACTCCAGATATATCTTTTATCTTTCATTGTCTTCCACAAGTATAGTTTTAACTATGCTTTTGGAGCTAGAAAAGTATTAGTAAAAAAATAATGGGTAAAAACAACTGGAATAAAAACATCTTGAATAAAGATTTGACAAATACATCCCTGGACTCTTAATATCATTTCTTTTACCCAGTTCTCTCTGAAGCAAAATCAAATATTTCATTAATAAAAGTGAAACAAAAAACAATAAAATGACCCACAAAAAGTAAAGTGTTTTTTTTTTTTTTTTTTTTTTTGAGACAAGGTCTCCCCTCTGTCGCCCAGGCTGGAGTGCAGTGGCATGATCTCGGCTCACTGCAACCTCTCCCAGGTTCAAGCGATTCTCCTGGCTCAGCCTCCCAAGTAGCTGGAATGACAGGCGCGCGCTAACACTCCCCCGGCTTTTGGTATTTTTAGTAAAGGCGGGGTTTCACCATGTTGGCGACGCTGTTCTCGAACTCCTAGCCTCATGTGATCCGCCTGCCTCGGCCTCCCAAACTGCTGGGATTATAGGTGTGAGCCACCTCGCCCGGCTAAAGATGGCTTATTTAAAGCTAGCAGTGAATTAATTCAGTTCCTAATTGAACCCTAGGTTTTAACAATAAACATCTGCATTTTGTTCAAGTTTTCTTCAGGGTATATTGTATCATGAGACAGCATTGCCCTCTCACAATGAAACATGACCATGCCAGAAAATAAAATGTTGCCGTCTTTACGGGCTTCCTTTTCCTTGTTAAACTTTGATGGCATAGTCAGAAACAACTGAAAGGCAAAATACTAAAACATCCAGCTCCAGTGAATTTTTTTTTTTAATTGTAAGCCAACAGTTTTTTGGAGCCTGCGGGAGGGAGGCAGCGAGTGTTGAAAGGGCCCTACTTAGTTGAGGTCGAGCCAACAGTGAAGCCTCAAAATTGTCAGCAGGCAGAGTCTATTCTGGAGAAGCAAATGAATAGGCTTAACTGAAGTCCCTTGCCCTGCAAAAAACAGAGGCAGGTGCTAGGGGGATGGATTTTTGGATAGGATGGAAACCGGGACGGATGAAGTCTTCCCTGGTTAGAGAGGAAATTTGGTATTAAGAGAGCCTCACTGAATCCCAATAATAACCAAACAACTGGTGTTGTCCAGGGCGCCGGCTGGAAAGTGGGAGGCAGGAAGCAGAAAGGCTCAAGCTCCTTTCCCTGAGTCGGTTCAGGAATTTAATTTCAGCCAATGTTTACTGGGGCACGGTGTTAGGCACGGGGATATCAAACTGAATAAAACGTGGTCTCGTCCTTGAAGAGCTTATAGTTCAGTGACACGGCTTTAACACTCCTCGTGGGCTTTGATAACTTTTATGCTGGGAGTCGTCAGGGGAGAGCTGCATCTAAATCCATCCACACTTTGGTAAAGATTTCAAAACAGAGGAAACAAGATATGGGGCGACGAGGTTGGAGGAGAGATGACGGCAGGGGCCGGTGCCAGACTTGGGAGCCGCCAACGCCGGGCTGTGCTGGTGCTGCATGCTGGCAAGGGGCAGCCAAGACCCTGCTTCGCGCGGGCACCCTCGGGCTCGGCCCCGGCAGCTGACAGTGCCGTGCGGGCGAACTGCGGTGGGCCTGGCAGGGGCCGAGCGGAGGTCCCGAGCCGCCTGCGCGGCCGGCACTCGCCCCCAGGGGGCAGAGTTCCCGGGCTAGTGCCTGCGCCGCTACCTGGGGCTCAGGCCCCACCGCTCCCCGCTGCGTCCGCGCCTTCTCTTTACAGGTTCTCTCCGCCGGCTGGGGCTCGACTGAGCTTCAGATTCCCCCACCCGCGGTCGCCGCCGGGGGACAGGAGCCGAGGCGCGGCAGGGCACCAGCGGCGGGAGGCGAGGTTGGGGAGGCGAGGGCGGTCCGCGCGCGGGGGCGGGAGGGGGCTGGGGGATTCGAGGGACGCGGCAGCCCCGCCCCCGCCCCCTCCTCTTCTCGCCTCCAAGCCGGAGAAGCTGGGGAGCATGGACCAGACTCCGCAGCGCTGGCACCATGACGCTCGCCCGCTTCGTGCTGGCCCTGGTGTTAGGGGCGCTCCCCGAAGTGGTTGGCTTTGATTCTGTCCTCAATGATTCCCTCCACCACCGCCACCGCCATTCGCCCCCTCCTGCACCGCAGTACCCCTATTACCTTCCCACCCACCAGCGGCCCCCGAGGACACGTCCGCCGCCGCCTCTCCCTCGCTTCCCGCGCCCCCCGAGGGCGCTCCCTGCCCAGCGCCCGCACGCCCTCCAGGCCGGGCACACACCCCGGCCGCACCCCTGGGGCTGCCCCGCCGGCGAGCCATGGGTCAGCGTGACTGACTTCGGCGCCCCGTGTCTGCGGTGGGCGGAGGTGCCACCCTTCCTGGAGCGGTCGCCCCCGGCGAACTGGGCTCAGCTGCGAGGACAGCGCCACAACTTTTGTCGGAGCCCGGACGGCACGGGCAGACCCTGGTGTTTCTACGGAGACGCCCGCGGCAAGGTGGACTGGGGCTACTGCGACTGCAGACACGGTGAGTGGCCTCGGGGCGGCCGCGGACACTCCGGACGGGCCCGGAGCTAGTGAGGCTTGGGGCCGGCGTACAGGTCTCTTGGAAAAAGTGACGGGGTGTGGGGTTGTGGGCTTCCATTGCGGGCTGTGATGGTGGGCTGCAGCTGGGTTACCAGTAAGGTATACTGGTGCTGCAAATCTAAGCCAGCCAGATGTGCTTGTGTGAAGGTTGTCAGGGGTGAGAGTTTCTGTGCAAGGTGCTGAGCTCTGGGTTTCTGTCCTCTGGCCACTGTGTGTGCGCTCGTGTATTGAATGACAGTGTGCTTTGGACGTCTGTTCTCTAGATTAGCTTACGTTGATAGGGTTACCATATTTAAAGAGGCACAGGAGGAGAGAAAGTTCCTAATTACTTGTTCTGGAAAGGGAAATGTTACATTAACGTGACAACCAAGAACCTTCCCTCCATTCTTTAGACTCTGATTTGGGAAAATGTGGTAAAATTTTTGCCTTGATTTCACTGTTGACCTCTGTTTTAAAAAGTATGGCAAAATTATGTGGCCAAAATCAGCCATATTCACATACTCTAGCTCAGTATAGGAAGTATCATTAGTGACTGGAAAAAAAAAGAAAGGGAAAAGAGATGGAAATATTACTATCTTGGTGAAGTAGCAACTTGATATAGTCATACAGTTTTCCAGAGCCATTACTTAACTTTATATGTTATATGTGGAAAATCAGGATTAGTTGGTAATATCAGGAGATGAAAGTGACAAAATGTTTTAGGTTTGTGGTAATAAAAGCATCCCACTAATAAATTTAATGTAAATGAATAATCCAGCTTTGAACATTGCTTCATTTTGAATTGTTGGAATTTTGTTGAAATTATTTTTTTTTCTTTAAAAACTGAGGAAGAAAAACTTAATATCCTCCAAAGTTTGAATTTCTTTTCAACAAAATATTTTTGGCAGCTTTCCATTCACATTGTGGGGAAAGGGTTTTCTGAATTGAGATCCTGAATCACATTGTACTTTGTACTTTTTGGAGGTAACTTGGAGGTTAGCTGTCACAATGTCATTCATTTCCTGGAGAAATTTTATTTATCAGTACCTTCAATTGCATTAGTGCTTTGAGTTAAGGAAAAGTGATAGGAAGGTTAAGATCAATTATCCTTCGTCCTTGGGAATGAAGTCATCGCTTTACTTGTGTTTCATGAACGGAATGCCAATGTGGCTATAAAAATATTTGAGGTGATGTCAACAAAGAGTGCTAGCATTGTCTCGTTATTCACCATAAGAGATTATTTATAGTAAAATCTTATGTTTAGCAAACATTGACTTTTTTATCTTCATATTATTATTAGTTTTGTTTTTTTTTCTTGAGACAGAGTCTTGCTCTGTCACCCAGACTGTAGTGCAGTGGCGCGATCTTGGCTCACTGCACGCTCTGCCTCCCCGGTTCGCCCCATTCTCCTGCCTCAGCTTCCCGAGTAGCTGGGACTACAGGCGCCCGCCACCACGCCCAGCTAATTATTTTGTATTTTTTCGGTAGAGACGGGGTTTTATCGTGTTAGCCAGGATGGTCTCGATCTCCTGACCTAGTGATCCGCCCGCCTCAGCCTCCCAAAGTGCTAGGATTACAGGCGTGAAGCCAACTGCGCCCGGCGTACTCTTAGTTTTATGAATAGGTAAGAGTGGAGAATTGTTAGAGAATTAATGTGTAGGAGAGAACATACAACTTCTCTTTTAAGTACATAAGCACAGACTCAAGAAAAGTAATTTAAAGTTAAAAAATGATAGTGATCTGTTGCTCTCTTTCTGACATAACTCCTAGCCTTATATTTCAGACAAGGAGAGTAACTTGTCCTTGGATTTCCTGCCACCACACCCTCTTCAGTTGACTAGAAATGTAAATCTTTTGAATGCCTTTATGTTCCTAGCTAACTCGCAGCAGACAAAATCCTCAAATACTGCATAATAGTTGTTTGTACTTCCTGGAGTAAAGTGATTGAACAAAAGAGAAACAAAAGAAACTACTCATGATGGGAGATAAATGCCTTCCCACCACCACAAAAAAATAGGAAAACGATCAACTGTGTAGTAATGAATGACTTTCACAGACTCAATCTCATTCTATCATTTACTCCTCCAGGTCTGCCTGGGCATAGCCTGTAGCTTTGAGATGACTGGCATATTCTGAACCTTATGGCTCTCTTGGTCCTACATTTCAGTTAGGAGTGTGAACAAAAGTTTCATGGAGTGGTGAAAAGAATATTGAATTGTGCTTTAGAAAACGCTGGTGTCTGCTTTGGCTCTGCCAGTGGCTGTGCACTGTTGGGTAAAACTCTTAACTCTTAGAGCTTTGATTTCCTCATCAGGAGAAAAGCAAGTTTTGAGTAAATTAATTTAAAAGACCTTTGCAGCACTGAGCATGTACTCAAAACAACCTGGCCTGATCACATTAGCTAGGACTTACTGTGCATTCATTCTGTGTTGGATGCTGGACTAAACATTTTATGTGCATTTTCTCATTTCATTTTTAATTTTTATTTATTAATTTTTTGACAGAATCTCCCTCTGTCACCCAGGCTGGAGTGCAGTGGCACAATCTCAGCTCACAGCAACCTCTGCCTCCCTAGTTCAAGCGATTCTCCTGCCTCAGCCTCTTGAGTAACTGAGATTTCAGGTGCCTGCCACCACGCCTGGCTATTTTTTGTATTTTTAGTAGAGATGGGGTTTCACCATGTTTCACTAGGCTGGTCTTGAATTCCTGACCTCAGGCCATCCACCTGCCTCTGCCCCAAAGTGCTGGGATTACAGGTGTGAGCCACCGCTCCCGGCTTCATTTCATTCTCGTGGCTTCATTTCATTCTTGTGGCTTCATTTCATTCTTGTGGCTTCATTTCATTCTTGTAGCAACCTTATGAGTGAGTTCCTGCGTTTTATGGATGAAAATATGTGAAGACATATTATGAGAAGTGCAGGAGAAAATAGGGTTAGATATGTATATTTTTACTTCACAGCTCATTTTGCTGTGTTTCTTTACACGTAATCCTCATTTTGTAGTTTATGGACTAGTCTAACAGGAAGAAAGAGAATTATGTTTGGCCCAATGCATGATTTACAGTCTCTTAGGCTTAAAAAATATCTGGTATCTGTCTTTTCTTTCTTTCTTTCTTTCTTTCTCTCTCTCTCTCTCTCTCTCTTTCTTTCTTTCTTTCTTTTTTAATTTTTTTTAGACAGGATCTCTCTCTGTCACCTGGGCTGGAGTACAGTGGCACAATCTCAGCGCAGTGCAACCTCTGCCTCCTAGGTTCAAACGATTCTCCTGCCTCAACCTGCCGAGTACCTGAGATTATAGGTGTGCACCACCATGCCCGGCTAATTTTTTGTATTTTTAATCGAAATAGGGTTTTGCCATGTTGCCCAGGCTGGTCTCAAACTCCTGACCTCAAGTGATCCACTCATTTCAGCCTCCCAAAGTGGGACATACCTGGGATTACAGGCATGAGCTACCATGCCGGACATATTTGTTTCTTTACAGAAATCCAGGGCAAAAGGAAAGAACAATTCATAGTAATGTGATCCCTTCTTTAAAAAATAAACCGGTGGCCAGAGTTACATATCTAGTTGCATCGGGAAAAATCAGGAAGTTGGTGTCTCCGTGGTGAAGAGTTAATTGAAGTCAGGTTGAAGGGGCAAAGTGGGGACCTCAGGTGAGCCAGGGCTGGGCGTGGATGTTCCAGTGGCTCAGATGTCAGAGAGCAGGAAACATGATACCTTGCCCGGGTTTTATGGGGAAATACTGTGCAAAAAATTTTAAATACTAAAGAATCATTTCTATGTCCCGAGGAGCGGTGGCTCACGCCGTGTTAATCCCCAGCACTTTGGGATTGGGCCGAGGCAGGCTGGATCACCTGAGGTCTCCGAGACCAGCCTTGACCAAAACGTGGGACTGGGCGAATAAAGAACAACCCCTGTGTTCTGCCTAAAAATACAAAAGGTAGCCAGGCATGGTGGCGCATGCCTGTACATCCCACGCCTAGCTTGGGAGACTGATCTAGCAGGGAATGCTTGAACCCCGGGAGGGCGGAGGTTGCATTGAGACCGAGATCGCGGCCATTAACATCCAGCCTGTGGGCGCAAGCGAGAACATCTCTGTCTTAAAAAAAAAAAAAAAAAAAAAAAAAGAAGTCATTCTGGCTATGGGAATACACTGAATCAGCCCAGGGAGCTGGTCTCATTATGAGCATTTAGAATCACCTTGGGACTTGTTAAAATGCAGATTCCTAGACTAGCCCAGGCTCTGAGTAATTCTCAGATCTGGATTGGGAATGGAACATGCATTTCTATTGAACAGTCAAATTGATTTGGATGTGAAAACTCTATCACAGTCAGGCAGAACACATGGAAGGGCATTAGAACCCACCTAAAATGTATAGTGGTAGGTGATGATATAGACTAACCAAGCCCACCATTCTGTGACTTAACCCTGTTAGGCTTTAGGAGCAGGTGTAAGGCATGCCAATGGTAACTTTTTGTGTGGTTTTAGAAATGGCACTTCTGGTTTTTCCTTTGACCAGTGTAGGATAGTAGTAACCTAGTTCACCGGAATATGGTTATTTTATTTTTATTTTTAGAGACAAAGTGCAGTGATGCCATCTCAGCTCACTGCAACCTCTGTGTCCCAGGATCAAGTAATTCTCCCACCTCAGCCTCTGAAGTAGCTGGGACTACAGTCCAGCTAATTTTTTTTTTTTTAATTGTTTGTAGAGATGGAGTTTTGCCATGTTGCCCAGGCTGGTCTCCAACTCTTGGGCTCAAGTGATTCTCCCGCTTTGGCCTCCCAGAGTACTGGAATTACAGGCATGAGCTACCATGACTGACCAGAATATGGTTATTAATTGAATTTGAGCTAGGTTATTTTTGCATTTCTGCAGGAAGAATTAACAGGCAACTAATTTCCCCCAACAATAGCTTGTGACCCAGCATGGTGGCTCATGCCTGAAATCGCAGCACTTTAGGA